TGTGTGTGTGTGTGTGTGTGTACACACAGATATGAATCACTCCTCAGGTGCCTTTGACTTTTTTATTTTTTTTAAATGACCCTTGCAGTGTTTTTATGTACAAAACAGAACTAGGGAAAGAGACTGTAATTATATTCCATGTATATATTTTTTTTTTATGTAGTGGATTTGAAAGTACTTTCATCCAGTGTATAGTAGAAGCATTTTGCTTGGATCAAGTATTGCTGTGGGTTCCTTCTGCAATATTACTGAGACTGTATAATCTTGTACATGTATAATAATGTTTTCCTTCTCTAGGGAAAAGGCTCAAGTGTGATATTGTATATCATCTGACTTTTATATTGTAGCCTCTAAATCTGTATGATTCCTTCACACCAGGCCAAAAATAACTAGATGGCAAGTTGTATGTAAGGAAACAGAGCTTGGGATTACAGAAAGCTGACTCCCAGAGGGCAAGACTGAGGCTGTAATTCAAACCCAGGGGCCTTGTATGACTCAGCCGGTGGAAGCAGCTGTAAAGTGTTTTTTTTTAATTGAAAAAAATAGAATATTTAAGCAATTAATAGACTGTACTAGAAATAATGTATTTGTTAAGTTCTGAGACTTGAAATCTCTATGCATCATTTTGTCCAAATCTGGACCAAGCCTGCAGTACAATACATCCCATCCTGCCCTCCCTGTACTTGGGGCAGCCTCACTGTTTGGATGTGCAGGCGGAGACCGCATTTGAGCTGGGAGGCTGCTGATGAGGAAGCATTGAGTAGGGTGGAGTTGGGAAGAGGGGATCGTATTCCTCTGCCTGGGACCAGAGCTTTCAGCCTGGTTGTAGCTGTGGTATCTAATGCATTGTAGCTGTAATCTGATCAGCAGCATCATGACTGAGAGCAGGGTCTAGCCCTCTTGCAGTGTGGCTCCCAGCTGCTTCCCTAAGCAGCTATGTTTTCACACGGGCCCTCTTTCAAGGGCTGCAGTCTGACTTCAGGAGCAGCAAGGTCTGCTATGCAAGTGGCTCACTGGCAGCAGCTCTGGGAGGCTGCTGGACTCAGGAACATGACTTCAGAGTCACAAATCATCCCTCCTCCCAGTGTGCTAATAATTCCTGTGGCCTCAATAAAGGTGCATCCCTCTGCCCGCACTGACGTGGTGACTCCGGCCATAGACTGAAAGGAGGGAGTAGAGCTAGGACAGGGGCAGGCGATTATTTTGGGTGGGGAGCTGCCTACTGAGTATTGGCAAGCCATCGAGGGTTGCATGACAGGCAGCCCAGGGCAGATAAATATTAATTTTCTAAAATTTTTAGGGGCCCCATGGGACGGATAGAATGGCTTGGTGGGCCACATCTGGCCCCCCGGGCTGCATTTTGCCCACCCCAAGCTAGGATGTCTTCCTGTTCCCTGACCACCACTAGCCTGCAGGGGCCAGTGACAGATTAAGTAGGTAAATCAAGCCTTTTAAATCTTAGTCATGGCACTTCTGATCCTAGCAAGGCAGCAATGATGGATTCCCTGTATCCCAATCAAACCAAAAGTTCGTGCTCCCTATTCATTGCTTGAGGCCATCCATGTTGGTGATTGGCAAGATTGGTCTTTTGCTGTCATTGTTAGAAGCATGATCCTTTGCTGCCTTAGCTGAAGCAGAAGTTTCATTAGCTGTCAGATGCAGTAGATATTTAGTCTCCTAATTCCCTCATTCTCCTATTCTCCTGTGGTCTGATGTTAAAGGGAGATGTGAATAACTTTATGTATGCAAATACTCTCATCAGATGAGGCTGTTCATGTGCACACACTTACCCACGTGGATAAGTTGTTTGTTGGACCACGGCCAAAGTTAGAAAGCAGATGCATCAAAAGACCTAATTGTCTAACATCTCTTTCAGTTGGTCCAATAAAAAGATATCACCAAAAATGCCTCTCCAGTGGTATAACAAACCTCATCTGACATGTCCTGCATTTGATCAAAGATGCTATCAGTATTATAGCACTTCAGCAGGGAAGCACACCAGCACTTGCACTGAGAGCAGTGCATCAAGTATGTCTAAGTCATTTCAACTTTGGCAGAATCAACCCCATGTGAAACAGAAGCTAATACTGCAGGTTTGGGAAGCAGGACGCCTTGTTGAATGTACTTTGTAAAATGCTGTAAACCAGTTTTATTTTCTGATGCATGAAATTAAATATTTTAAAATGTTGTGGTATTATGAAACCAATGTTATTTTATTGGAGGAAAAAATAAGAGAAGTGTTTCTATCATGAGATAAAATAAGCAGTATAATATATACATGCACACACACATGCGCACATATGCCAAATAGGTAGCATGTATGTATGCTCCAGGGTACAGTGCATCCAGATAGGTCAGTGCTGCTCAACCTTTTGGCCCTGCAGGCCAGATGAGTGGCATGGGGCTGACCCCTGGGGTTTGGCCCCACATGCTCGGATCTGGCATCTTGCTGCCTGGATTGGGCCCTGCATGCCTAATTTCTACCTCGTGCTGCTTGGATTCCATCTTGTGCACCCAAATAAGACTGCGTGAGCCAGGATCAGGCCCCA